TCCTCCCAACCCCATCCCATGCCCCCAGGACGAGCCACAGCTCTGTTGTGTGCCCACCCCACCCTGGCTGGGCCGCAGCTGCCCCAGCTCCTGCCCCATTCCCTACCTCACTGCAGGGGGGGGCATTGATCTGCCTCTGCACCCCTTTCCTTCTACTGTAACAGACTGACAAGCTGCTGGGCTGTGCCTCCTTGGTGTCTGTGTGCTGCACTGCGGCTGCACACATGCATGGGCATTTATCTGCTAAATTATCGGTCATATCAGGCCGATTTCTGATGCAATCAATTTTATTTATATTGCTGGGAATCCGATGTCAGACCCATGTATTGGTGTACCTCTGTTGTTTATGCGTAAACAGTTCAGTTTTTATATTACATAAACAGTACAAAGTAGACATTTGGGCAAAATTTTCAAATGCACCTAAATCCTGGTTTCAAAAGTGATGTAGAAGCTCAGTTTCATAGAAAATCAGTAGAACTTAAATGACTTGCTTTGAAAAAATTTACACATGCACTAAAACAGTGGGGACTAACCTTTTTGGCAGGTGTTACCCATTAACATCACATCCTCCCTGAGTGCCACTCCAATCCCCTTTCTCTTCCCAGTCTGCCACCCTGCTTCCTGCTGTATCGGCTGCTGTGCTGCCTGTCTCCTCTCTGATCTGCGTGCCTCTTGCAGGAGCTGCCTGCGCCACTTGTGACATGTGCCGCAAGTTGGCCACCCTTGTTCTAAAATATATTGCTGTTCATGAATACAATGGCCTATTCAAAATAGCATAGTATTTAATTTGCCCCTCAAAAAAAAAAATCCTGATTGCATCCAAGCTCAACTCACTGGGTGCATCTACACGAGACACTAACTGTGCAGTAGTATCTTAATAAACAGCTTAATAAATTGCACAGTAGTGTGTCATAGCATGGACAATGCTAGTGTGCCATTCCACAGTAGCATCACTAAAAAGGCATTCGCTGGCGCTACTGCACAGTAACTCCAGTTGTGCATTTATTTAGTACTTAATTATACAAGTACTATATTAAATGTGTAGTAACTATTGCACATTAATAGATAGAACGTGTAGATGCGCTCACTGAGGCTTACGTCACACCAGTGCTGTTGGGTTATTAATCTCAATTGAGGTTTTTGTTCCAAGTTAGTAAACTATTACTTAATGTGTTTGCTATACTCAGATGATATGTCTCTCTCTGCTCTTATCCCACATGCAATATTTTGTAAATCAAAGGGGAATACAAAAAGACTTTGTATGGCCACAAAAAGGATATGCTTATAGATGCAAAAAAGCACTGCTGAGATGCTGTGCCCACTCCGCATGGGCTAGTTCGTATATTGGAAGCTGCGCATACTAGTAGTTGCATTAAAGTTGCACTGCATATGACAGTAAGCCCTGAGCCAGACTTATTAAAAAAGTTAGTCTCAAATGGCTGGTGACTCTGCACAATACGTAATGGAGTGAAAGTTGTGTCCACTTGTCATATACTGATCTCTCTTCCTGTTTCTTTTATTAGTATGACCATAAACGAATCTCTTTATTGGCAAACCAACTAGTTACAAAAATAATGAAAGAAATTCCTGATGTGGTTATGAATGGAGATCCAGAACATCGCTATCCAGGTAAAAGTAGCAGAAATCTGATATTTTCTAGAGTTATAGAATCTATCAATATTTGCAGACTGTTTTATTTTTCATTTGGTTTCTTTTTTAAAAGCATCTGTCCCTAGTGGTTGTGCAGAAAACTTTCTAGGAGTAATATAATATGGTCAGTGCTGGAACGTCTTCCTCAGATTTTAGGCAGTCTTATACTTTAGGTCTGAGATCTGTAAAATGCCCCATTCACTTTCAGTTTCACTGCTGCTCATTTTAACAATGATGTTATTTCTCTGGAAGCACTGGTGAATATGTGAGTTGGCTGGCTGCTTGTTAAAGTTATTGAAATAGGAATTTGTATTTCAAGCCCTGCATTGAAAAGGATTCATGTCCTTAGGGCTAAATCCCCAGAACATCATCTCTCCCTTTCATAGTTGCCAAAGCTCTTGCTACCTTTTATCCTGTTAAGGGAAGATTGGATGCTTCCTACCAGTTTGCCAGGTGCAGTTACAACCTACCAATATAAAAATCGATTTCAGTTTGAAAATTTGGTGGCAAGATAAGATTGATTTAAAATGTGAGGAGCTGGGATTTGTGTTGCATTTAATACCAGAAGGAATAACCAAGAGCAGAGAGAGGTTAAGTAGAAACTACTACAGGAATGTCAGTCACGTCAGCAAGTAAAGGTGTCAGGTCTAGTGGGCTGCAGACTCCTAGACCCAAATCTCTTGGATCTATATCCTGTTTCACAGATTCAGACCAAATGACTGAAATATAAACTAGGGAAATCACTGCAGTTAGAAAAAAGAAGATAAATGCTCCCCCAGTCCAAGCAGTTGTTCCACAAATGCTACCAGGATTCCTCAGCCTTTTGTGCTCCTCCTCAGAGGAAATCTGAAAGATATGCAGGCCCTTGAGCCTCTGCATGCACGATACTGAATCTACATCTGTATTCAGTGAATCCTGTGAAGATTGGGTCAGTGCTGTATAGTAGAGGACCCCCACCCCCCAGCAGAGAGCCTGGGGCTCTTGGTCACTTTAAGAGAGCAAGAGCTTAGGCACAGCCCTAAAGGGAAGGCAGGGCACAGCTGCAGCTAGGTTGTCATGACAACTAGATAATGAATATAATTAGGGTCACCTGACTGGAAGGGGGCAGGGCCAGAGAGATAAGGCAGCCGCTGAGACTGGTCATGCAGGGTAGCCTGGAACCTGAACAGGGAAGAGCTCTGCAGGGGTACCTGTGGCTGCACCATACTGGGAGCAGGCCAGGCATGCAGACAGCATGAGAATCTGAGGCCTAGCCATGCTGATAGACCCAGGGTTGGGGTAGGACTTTGTTATAGCCAGAAGGGCTTGTGTTTTGATTTCTGTTTGACCTGGTGCCTGGGGGCAGACCAGAAGGGTCTGGCATCTTGGGGGGACTAGGTACCTGCAGCTTTGTCTGTTGACTGGGAGGACTGAGAGGGTCTGGTGCCCATGGGGGACTAGATACTGAAAGGAAGACAAGGTGGTTTGAGGGGACTGTGAGGGGTGGCTTGGAGGTCCCATAACACCTGGGGGGTGGAGGGCTACTGATCCCTGAATGCCCGGAGGGGTGATCTTGTAGCACCCAAGAGGGGTGATCTTGTAGTGCCTGTCAGGGGTGGGGAGGTGGTGCACACCCAGAGGTGCAATCCTATAGCGTCCATGAGGAAAAATTTTTCTGTTAATGCCAAAGAGACACAGACTGGGGGCCAGTGGCCCAAAAGCCTAGGAAGGGCAGGACTTGGATTGGGGGCTAGAAGGGCCTGAGCCTAAGAAGGGCAAAGCTTGAGGCCAGGGAACCTAGCACTTGAGAATGTCTCTGGGCCCTCTGACCTCAGTCTCCACCAAAGGCTTTGGAAGGCCAGACAAGAAGCTGAGAAGCCCAAAACTTGGTTTGGTCAGTGAATTAGAGCTAGAGGGGTCAGCAAGAGAAAAAGGGCAGAAGCTGAGAAGGCATG